ATATATATATATATATATATATGAAATCATTTGTTTCATCTACATTTGATTGTCTTCATTTATTTTTATAGCCTTGAAAAAACAAAGAGAGAGAATAATAACAACAACATAAAAATATGATAATGATGAATAATAATACAGAAAAAGGCAATGCTTCTACGTTAGAAAAAGCCAAAGCTTAAAAAGGGGAACAAAAGCAAGACATAGAAAACTCCTCAACATGGGGGATTCATCCACAAGCAAAGGGCAGTGTCTCCCCACAACAACAATCCCGCCTCATGGTTAAGTCAAGCAATCCATTGAAGATCAAAATAATCTACGAGTCAACCATGACATGTTCAAGCCATATCTACCCTTAGCACCATGTCGCTCGCTCTACAAATAGACAATCCTCAACATTCAAATAATTCCAAGGCATCACTTCAACAAACACCACCCAAAACAAAATCCCAACAACACATTCCTGTGACTCCATCTCGGCAATTCGTAATCATCCATCCAAAAAAGTCCAACATCCACACAAGCCCTGGATATGCATCATAATACTTACCACGGCAAGGACAACACAAGGTTTTTATCAACCGATCAATCAATAAGAAGAAACCACTATGACAATGCACCTAGAGAGGCATCACAATACTCACCTAGCAAGCACAACACAAATTTTTCTGCCAATGATTCACCCATCCATAGTCGCCTAAAGAGATATTATAATACTTACATGGTAGGAACAACATAAAGTTCCTACTAACCTTCAAACTCAATCAGCAAAGACAACCCAAGATAAGGGCACATCAAGCACCTTCTGCCTGTCATCCTAGGGCAACCTCCATTACAAATCAAGCAAACAAACGAGGGCACCACCAGGTTCCTCAAACTACATCATCATGGTAGGCGGCATGGAAAGGTCGACACAATAATACTCACTTCTCGAATTGGTACACGACAAAGCCATAAGGGAAAAGTCTGGAGAGACAGTACTCAAATCATGACTTGGGTTGGTTGAAGCCGTAATATTAGTCTAGTTTGGAGAGTCTGAGCTCAGAAAATACTCATCTCCCAAACTGGTACATGACCAAGCCATAAGGGAAAAGTCTGGAGAGACGGTACTCAAATCACAACTTGAGTTGGTTAACACCCTAATATTAGTCTAGCTTGGAGAGGCTGAGCTAAAAAATTACTGGTTTCCTGAATTTGTACATGACAAAGCCATAAGGGAAAAGTCTGGAGAGACGGTACTCAAATCACAACTTGAGTTGGTTAACACCCTAATATTAGTCTAGCTTGGAGAGGCTGAGCTAAAAAATTACTCATTTCCTGAATTTGTACATGACAAAGCCATAGGGGAAAAGTTTGGAGAGATGGTACTCAAATCACGACTTGGGTCAACTAAAGCCCTAATATCAGTCCAGCCTAGAGAGGCCGAGCTTAGAAAATACTCATTCCCCTCATTGGCAAATGACAAAGCCATAAGGAAAAGTTTAGAGAGACAGTACTCGAATCACGACTTGGGTTGCTTGGAAGCCCTAATACCAATCCAGCTTGGAGAGGGTGAGCTCAAAACATACTCACTTCATAGTAAACCTAATAAAATCTTCACCTCACCATCACAAGGCAAGTAAAAGCAATACAGAGCATCCATACGAACTCAGAGGTTCAGATGGTACATTTTGCCATCCTTATTCCCTAATGGAGCAGACAATCCAACACTTAACTACTCCAAGGAGCAAGGATACGGACAAACCCATCTATCTGAAAAAAGTGAATGGAGGCACTTATACAAAGAGACAAGGAGAAGACCCAAACAAAATGTCTATGTCTTTATTTGACTTTGGAGAAACGACACAACCATCCAAAGTACAAGTAAAAAGGGGCAGTTATAGACACCCAATTTCGTCTGAGGTATCCAAAATAAGGCAAAAATACTTTGAAGGCCCATTATGACAATTGAATAGACTCGAACAATATCAAGAGGCCCAAAAGCACAAAGGGCTAAAATAAGAGCTCGAAACAGGCCATTCCCAAATTTTGGAACAACCTGTTCCAAATAATAAGAAAGGCCTAAAAACCCTAGGTCAAAATGGGTCGTTCCAAATCTAGAATAGGCCATTCTGACCTAGGTTGTTATGAGCAAAATATTAATCTAGAACGAGTCATTCCAATTTTGGAATGGCTTGTTCCAAATTCAAATTTTGACCATAACAAACTAATCTGGAATGCCCCGCTTTGGTGACTAGAATGGTCGTTCTAGTTAGATTTGAGGCCTATAAATAAATGCCTCGTGCACAGTGCTCAACGACCGAAGTTAGATAAAAAAATCTTGCTTGTCTTAGACTAGATAGCTCAGAAATTCTTTTTCTCTCTCTCTCTTTCTCTTCCTTTTGTGTTTCTTGAGTATTGTGAGGATACTTGTAAAGTGTAAGGCTGCCAAAAAGTGTCTGGACCCCACATTTAAAGGAAGAATTCTATAAAAGATTGCTTCGGAGGTATTTTTAGTAATTCTCATCTCTCTCTTTCATTTAAATCGCTTTATATACACGATTTTGCAATAGATAAGCCATAATCATATGCACATTTCATTTTCAAATGTATCGGGTCTAAACCCATTTCTTTTATATAAGTAATTGTAATAACATGTAAATAATTAATAAAAGGATAATTAAATATTCAAGCTATTATTTTTTATTATGCTAATTTCATCATAGGATACTGATATAGGGCATTGTAGGGTGTTTAATACCTTCCCTATACGTAATCGATCCCGAACCCAATTTTGGCTATGAGAGTCATTTTGATAATTTTAAAAATCTTTTCTTTTTCTGATGTTTTGAGTAAAATATCGGTAGCGATTCCTTCAAACAGTTTTTTAAAACCATTGATTAGAGATTAGTCTAGTTTTCGAACATTCGCTAATCAATGAGATTTTCAAAACAGAAGTCCAAACTATCTTTGGACAAGATCTGAATTTTTCAAGTTCAACAATATAGAATAAATTATTGAACGAAATAAATATAAGTAAATTTACGCTTAAAATAAATAAATTCCTTCTTATATATATATATAGTTTACACTCATTAAAAATTAGAAGGTAGCATCTTTTTCATTCGGACAAAATTGCCATTTTTTTCTCGTTAATGAGTATTTATGTTATTTTAATTTTAAATTTAATTTTCAAGTATTTATATATTTATTCATATTTTTAGTTTTCTATCATGTAGTGTATCTCTTCGTTTTGTCCGCTATACCAAATCAACCGCAACAACTGCAACCTTCCCTTCGTCATTAGATAGAGCTTAGAATCGTCGTGATGCAAATGGAACGTGGATCTAATGACAATCACGGTCGTCGCTGGAATGCAATGGGTTTCAACACAACGGAAGATAAATTACCAATGGAGGATCTCACGACGGTAGGTTCTCAAGACTCATTTGATTTCACACTAGTTAATTTATTCCATAATATTCATATGCCATTTTTTTTTGTATTACCAGATAGTGATACACTGAGCCTTTCGGTTTGGTTGGTGAGAAATTTGGCTCAAGTTAGGGCTGGACTTGCTGTGGATCATTTGCATTTTATGTAGTTAAGGTGAAGCTTCCTTGTTTGAATTTTTGGTATCAGTTTGTTTTTGTTTGAATTTCAAGTTTTTTTTATTGAATTTGTTCTCTTATGTGTTGCTTTTAGATTCATATAGAAGGGGTTTGAGGGGTGTTGATTGTAAAGTGATTCATGGCAGCAGAGGTAACTGGTGGGGCATTTCTCTCAGCCTCCCTTCAAGTGACTTTTGACAAGTTGGCTTCACGTGAGATCAAGGATTACTTCCAAGGAAGGAAACTCAAAGATGAGACGCTCAAAAAGCTAGATTTTGCGTTGAACTCTATCAACCAAGTGCTGGATGATGCAGAGGAAAGGCAGTACCGAAGCCCAAATGTGATGAAGTGGCTTGATGATCTTAAAGAGGCTTTATATGAGGCAGAGTTGCTGTTAGATGAAGTTGCTACCGAAGCATCGCGAAATCCTGCTACCAGCAAGGTGCTAGGCTTCTTCACGGCTTTTATTAATCCATTTGACAAAGAAATTGCGGCTAGGGTTAAAGAAGTATTAGAGAACATAAAATTGTTGGCAGAGAAAAAGGATACGCTAGGATTGAGGAAGGGAATTTGTGCTGGCAATGAAGTTGGAGCCGGTTGGAAACTCTCCAGCAGATTGCCAACTGCATCCTTGTTGGATGAATCTAGCATATGTGGTAGAGAGGGTGATAAAGAGCAAATAATCAAAATTTTAGTTTCAGACAATGTCACATGCAATCAAGTGCCAATTATTAGTATAGTGGGCATGGGAGGGATGGGTAAGACCACCCTTGCTCAGCTTGTGTATAATGACCAAAGGATACTGGACCAATTTGACCTTAAAGCTTGGGTCTATGTTTCACAAGATTTTGATGTTGTTGTTGTCACAAAAGCAATTCTTAAGGCACTTCAGTCCTTATCAGAGGAAGAAAGTGACTTGAATTTGCTTCAACTTGAACTGAAGCAGAGATTGATGGGGAAGAAATTTTTGCTTGTTTTAGATGATGTTTGGAACGAAAGCTACTCGAGTTGGGACGCACTACAAATCCCCTTCATTTTTGGATCTTCAGGAAGTCGGGTTCTTGTTACTACACGTACTAAGAATGTAGCAACAGTCATGAACTCCTGTGAATTACTTCATTTAAAGCCATTGGAGAATATGTATTGTTGGAAGCTGTTTGTGAATCTTGCATTTCCTGACAAGGATACCAACAAATATCCAAATCTTGAATCAGTTGGCAGTAAAATTGTTGAGAAGTGTGGAGGATTGCCTTTAGCTATAAAAACATTGGGAAATATCTTGCGAGCAAAATTCTCCCATCATGAATGGGTTAAGATATTGGAAAGTGATATGTGGCACTTATCAGAGGATGATAGCAAAATTAACCCTGCTTTGAGATTGAGTTACCACAATCTTCCTTCCTATCTGAAGCGCTGTTTTGCTTATTGCTCCATATTTCCCAAAGGTTATGAGTTTGATAGCGACCAGTTAATCAAGTTGTGGATGGCAGAAGGTTTGTTGAGTTGCTTCCAAATAAATAAGAATGAAGAAGAGTTAGGTAGTGATTTCTTTAATGATCTACTGGCAAGGTCATTTTTCCAACAATCAATATGCCGTGGTTCTCACTTCACTATGCATGATCTTCTTAATGATTTAGCAAAATCTGTGTCAGGAGATTTTTGTTTACAAATGGAGCGTAGTTTGGTGCAACATATACCTAGGAGAACGCGCCATATTTCATGCTCTCACAAATTTAGCCTTGACAAATTTTTGGATCATATTTGCAAGTGTAATAGATTGCGTTGTCTTGTGGCACTCACATGGGAATTTGGCAGGGGAGATTTGATGAACAGCAATGCACAACGTGTTTTGTTTTCTAGAATAAAATATTTGCGTGTGTTATCCTTCAACAATTGTCTTCTCATAGAGTTAGTTGATGAGATAAGCAATTTAAAGCTTTTGCGTTATCTAGACCTTTCGTACACCAAGATTAAAAGGTTGCCTGACTCCATTTGTATGCTGCATAATTTGCAGACACTAATACTAATAGGGTGCTATCATTTGACAGAGCTCCCCGTAGAATTTCACAAACTTGTCAATTTGCGCCATCTTGATGTGCGTATGAGTGGAATAAATAAAATGCCGAAGCACATAGGAAGGCTGAAAAATCTTAAGACCTTGACTTGTTTTTACATCAGCAAGCATAGTGGGCTTGATATTAAGGAGTTGGGAAATCTCAACCAACTCCAAGGAACACTCTCAATTTTTAAGTTAGAAAATGTCAGTGATCCTGCCGATGCTACGGTGGCTAATATGAATGATAAAAAGAATTTAGAAGAATTGGTGTTGAATTGGGGTGACAAATATGGTAGGTCCTATCAAAATGATGACTCGATAATTGAAAGACATGTCTTGGATGCTCTTCAACCGAATGGGAACTTGAGAAGGCTTACTGTTTTACATTATGATGGAACTAGCTTTCCAAGTTGGTTTGGAGGTTCTCATTTTCCCAATTTAATATCCATTTCGCTGACTGAAAGTAAATTTTGTTTTATGTTGCCACCATTTGGTCAGCTCCCCTTTTTGAAGGAGCTGTCCATATCATGCTTTTATGGGATAGAGATCATTGGTCCTGAGTTTTGTGGTGATGATTCCTCAAGTGTTCCATTCAGATCACTTGAAATTTTGAAATTCGAGGAAATGAGTGCATGGAAAGAATGGTTCAGTTTTGATGGTCATGTAGAAGGTTTGTCTAGTCTCAAAGAGCTTTCTATAATGCGCTGTCCATGGTTGAGAAAGGCTCTGCCTCAACACCTTCCTTCTTTGGAAAAATTGGTAATTTGTGAATGCCAACACTTAGAGGATTCAGTTCCCAAGGCTGCTAACATTCATGAGCTAGAGTTGCGTAGCTGTGAAAATATATTGCTGAAAGATTTACCATCCAGCTTGAGCAAGGCCACGATTCTTGGAACTCGTGTCATTGAGTCCTGCCTCGAGCAAATTCTGCTCAACAATTCCTTTCTTGAAGAGTTAGGAATACATGACTTTCAAGCTCCGAATCTAAACTGGTCCTCTTCGAATTTGCATATACAAGATTCTCTTGGAACTGTATCTATAACAAGCTGGTACTCCTCTTCGTTGCCATTTGCACTAGACATGTTTGCCAATCTTCGTTCTCTACATTTCTATGATTGTCCACAGCTTGAGTCGTTTCCTGAGGGGGGTTTGCCTTCAAACCTGCGCAAACTCGAAATTGAGGGTTGCCCCAAACTGGTTGCATCTAGGGAGGAGTGGGGATTGTTCGAACTTCATTCTTTGAAAGAGTTGAGGGTTAGTGATGACTTTGAAAACGTGGAGTCTTTTCCAGAGGAGGGGTTGCTGCCATCCAGTCTCAGTGATCTATACTTAATTGGATGTTCAAAGCTAACAACAACAAACTCTTCGGGTTTTCTCCACCTCAAATCTCTCAAATCCTTCTATATTCTAACATGCCCTCGTCTTGAGTGCTTGCCAGAAGAAGGCTTAACAAACACTCGTTCTGTTCTGTTCATTCTTAGTTGCCCTTTACTAGAGCAGCGGTACCAAAAGGATGGAGAGCATTGGCATAAAATTCACCATATCCCTTCTGTGATGATTAATTGACTGCTGAAACATGCAACACATTCATCCGTAAGTTTATATCCACTTTTATGTCAAACATATTTGTGTAGTTTCTTTTGGTGGAAATGAATTAGATATCCATCCCACCATAACCATGATCGGATTTCTTGTTTGTTCTAACTATTACACATGCATAATCAAAGTTCTTATATATCAGAGGAATCATTATGCGTTATCGCTATCGCCCTTTGTCTTCATATGTTGTAGTGAAATCCTAAAAACTCAACCTAGAGGAACCAAGTCTCACTATCTTTCAACTATCGTGGTTCATTTGGTAAAAAAAATAGAATCTATTAACTATTATAATATATTAAATATGAAGCGTTGGTTATGATGTTATGTATTTTAAAACAATTTTATGACATGGACAAAACTGCTTACATGTTACACCCTCTTTTTTTATAAGGTATCTTACATAGTGTTTGGTTGGAAGGAAATGGAGGGGGAGGGGAAAGATTTTAAAATATTTTTAATATAATATTCAAAATATCCATATTTATGTTATTCAATTTAAAATTATAAGATACAAAAGTAAATTAGTTTTTAAAATTCATCATTTTCCTTTGTGAATCAAACAAGAAAAGTGTTGTCTCTCATTCCTTCTCCTTCTCTCAAACAAGCAAAATTTTTATCTTGTATCCTCCCTTCCCTTCACTCCCCCATCTCCATTAAAATATTTCCTCCCCTCTCCTCTACTTTTAACCAAACGAACCCTTATAGTGTCAAAAACATTAAATTATTTTTTTGTTTGTCTCTATTAAAGATTGTGAGAATGTGTTTTTCTGTTTTACTTCTTAAACTCTCTAATTAACATTTATTATTTTTGTTGACATTGGTCATAAACGTTTATATGGGGTAATATTTTCATCTCTTGAAAATTTAATGATATAAGAAGGATAAAATTGATAAAGCATGATTTTACTTTATAAATTAAATAGGCTTAATTGCAGTTTTGATCCCTCAAGTATTGCAATTGTGCAATTTTGATTCCTAAAATTTTAATTGGGTAATTTTAGTCCCTAAAGAATTAAAGTTGTGCAATTTTAGTCCTTTAATTTTTAATTGAATAATTTTAGTTCCTCAAATATCATAATTGTGCGATTTTAATCTCTCCTATTAAAAATTTAATAATTTTAAAATTTTAATATATATATATATATATATATATATAATGTTTTAAAATTAT